GTCTTAGTCACCCAGGCTGGAGTGCTGGAGTGCAATGGTGCAGTCTTGGCTCAGTGCAACCTCTGCCTGTCGGGTTCAAGCTTTTCTTGTGCCTCAGCTTCCCTAGTAGCTGGGATTACAGGTGTGTGCCACCACACCTGGCTAATTTTTTTGTATTTTTAGTAGAGATGGGGTTTTGCCGTGTTGGCCAGGCTGGTTTCGAACTCCTGGCCTTAAGTGATCTGCCACCTCAGCCTCCCCAAAATGCTGGGATTACAGGCGTGAGCCACTGTGCCCAGCCTGTTATGTGTAATTTTATCGTACTTTAATTTTGTTTGTTTTGTTTTGTTTGAGACAGGGTCTCACTCTGACATGCAGGCTGGACTGCAGTGGCATGGTCACAGCTTGCTACATCCTCGCCCTCCTGGACTCAAGCAATCCTCTTGCCCCAGCCTCCCAAATAGCTGAGAGCAGAGGTTCTTGCAACCACAACCAGCTAATTTAAAAAAAAATTTTTTGTACAGACGAGCTCTCACTATTCTGCCCAGGCGTGTCTTGAACTCCTGAGCTCAAGTGATCCTCCTGCCTGGGCCTCCCGAGGTGCTGCTGTTATAAGCATGAGCTGCTGTACCCAGCCTTGTTATACTTTTAAATACCAAATTAGACATCCTTGTAGTTTTTACTTAATGGCAAAACATTTTTATTCTCTTGCCTCAGAGTAAATTTGAGTATCACAGGGCTTGAAATCTGACTGTGAAGTTACTTACTACTGTATGGCTGATGGCTAGAAATGCTGTAAGCTGGCTCACTTGAGACAGCCAAGGTTCTTCTTTGTGAGTGCCATTGACCTAGACCCTCATGCCATAGCACAGACACAGGCAAATCTTTTATATTGCATTGCCAAGTTTGTGTGAATGGCAAGAAAAAAGTTGATATTTGATGTAACTGAGGGTACTGGTTTTTTCTCAAGTTGGGCCGGGTGTGGTGGCTCATGCCTGTAATCCCAACACTTTGGGAGGCCGAGGCGGGTGGGTCATCTGAGGTCGAGAGTTCGAGACCAGCCTGACCAACATGGAGAAACCTCATCTCTACTAAAAATACAAAATTAGCCTGGTGTGGTGGCGCATACCTGTAATCCCAGCTACTCAGGAGGCTGAGGCAGGAGAATCACTTTTACCCGGGAGATGGATGTTGCAGTGAGCCGAGATCGTACCATTGCATTCCAGCCTGGATAGCAAGAGTAAAACTCCGTCTCAAAAAAAAAAAAAAAGAAAAGGGCCTGCTTTTCCTCATTATAGTCAGTGGTAGGTTATGGTCAGCCAAAAACCATTCTCTTGTTGTAATCAAGGGTTTGTAGGTTTTTGCATTTTCCAGGTTTCCTGTTTTTGAGGGTTTGTCTGTGGTTCCATAGTTCTTTTGCTTATTCATTCATTCAGAAATATTTACCGAATGCCTATCATGTAGGCATTCTTCTAGGTGTCAGGGCATATAACAGTGAGCAGAACGAAATGTCAACACGCATAGAGCAAATATTCTAGTAGACAGTTAAAAAATAGATAATGTATCAGTAAGAGTCCAATCAGAATGTCAGAAACTACCTTTGATGTAGAGGGAATTGGTCTCACATGTGTTAGAAGGGCTGGGAAAACAAAAGGTAATAGGAGAGGGGTTGGGAGAACAAATAGGAAAAAAGGGAGCACCCAGAAATAATAATTGTTAGTACCCCTGCTACTGCATTGTTGAAAATGCTGTAAAAGTTTGTTCTGAATCAGCAGAAAAGGCGCTCCCTCAACCAGGCTGGAACTACCACCAGTGTTGTTGCTAGAAACCTGGAGCAGGAAGGAGCTGCTTCTCCCCTCTGTCTTCCAGTCACTCACCATGAATACCTGCTATTGGCAAGGCCCATCTGGATGGCAGATGCCAAAGCAGCCTGGAAAGTGGAGTTTGCTGACTTCCACCCCCTACAGTATATAGCAGAGCACAGAAAAGTGGAAAGGAGACCGAAAAGAAAAAGGAGGCTGGGCGCAGTGGCTAACGCCTGTAATCCCAACAATTTGGGAGGCCAAGGTGGGCAGATCACCTGAGGCCAGGAGTTCGAGACCAGCCTGGTCCAACGTGGTGAAACCCTGTCTCTACTAAAAATACAAAAATCAGCTGGGCGTGGTGGTGGATGCCTGTAATCCCAGCTACTTGGGAGGCTGAGGCAGGTGAATCGCGTGAATCTGGGAGTTAGACGTTGCAGTGAGCCAAGATCGTGCCACTGCACTCCAGCCTGGGCAACAGAGTGAGACTCTGTCTCAAAAAAAAGAAAAGAAAAAGGAAAATAATGTGGCCAAATACACTGCTAATTACTATGAAGAAGAATACACAAGAGTAGGAGGAAAAACAATAAAGACAGGGGTGACGGGAGCTACTCTAGTTAGAGAGTCGTAAGAAGAAGCCACTTGGCAGAAGGAACATTTGAGCAGAGACTTAAGAGAAGTGAAGGTGTAAGTGACATGAAAGCATTCTAGGCAGAGGAAACAGCAAATGCTGAGGACCTGAGACAGGCAGAGTACAGCAAGGACACCATGGTTGCAGCTCAGCCAGCAGGGTAGAGTGGTGGGAGATAAGGACTGGTGGCTGAGGAGCCCTGGGACTTTGTAGCCCATGATAAGGACTTTATGGGAGAGCAGGGAGAAAAGTAGAAACAAGGAGATGAGGAAGGAGTCTTATCACAGTGGCTTGAATAATGCGTTAATCTTTACAGTGTGCAAGAGCAATGTAAAATGTAGGGGCAGTAAAAGATAAACAAAAACTAAGGGGAAAATATTCTAAAAATTCTCCAGAAAAATTCTGGAGTGAAGAGCATGTGTGGAGCATGCATGTATGTCTATGCTAACTTCATCTACAGAGAAACAAACAGTTTCATCTAAGGATTAACTAAGTATGTACTTGGTTTTTACTTCCTTCCTCCCCTAACCGCACCGTCTTGAACTTGCAAATTTACTTTTAAGGAACCTTGGTTAGACTGGAAATAAAACTTTATTCTGTGTCTACTATTGCAAGGCACAGTATTAGACACTGTGAAAAAATAAAACAGATGTAAAATATGCATCCTGCTCTGAAGACATTCTTAGTCATGGACAGAGGCATGGAAAGTTCAATTAGGATATAAGAATTGTTATAAAGTAGTAAATTAATGGTACATACAAGTGCTGAGGGTTCCAGGAAAGAGAAAAACGTGAAGTAGAGGTTGTCTTCAAAGTTTTTTTAGAAAAGGAAGTTCAGCCATATTTTAAAGGATCAGCAAGATTTTAAATGTACTAATCTTTCAGCTTCAAGACATAAGGACTTGGCACAGAGCACTTAGCACAGAACCTGGTGCATAGTAGGTACTCAGTCATTTGTTGAGTGAATTAAATTTGTACTTATTTGATATTAAACCAAGTTGAGAGGAAAGTAAGTTGGAAATAATGTCTTTCTTTATTCAACTTGTCTGCTGGCCATTTTGCTACGTTTCTGAGACTTTCCGTTAAAAGATGAACAGAAAGACAGTCAGTTGAAATCATCTGCTTTTCCTGAAGATGTCAAGTTTGGTATCCAGAGTATCCCATGGAAATTTCAATATTTAATATCACTGAATAAGCCTTTGGTCAAAAGTGGTGATATATAATAATGGAATTATTAGCCTATTATTCTGAGAATTAAACACATTGATATCATCACCTTTCTAAATATCAGTAGAAGTTTGGATGTTTACTAATATAAAAATCATCTTGAAAGATTTCTTCCTTTTCTTTTTTTCTCCCAGGAGGAAGAAGCAGTACTTTTTTGTCTCATAGCATTAGTAACCAAGCTAACGTTCACCAGTCTGTCATTAGCTCCTGGCTCAGCAATGATCCTGCAAAAGACCGAATTGAAATCACAAGCTTGCTTCCCAGTAGGTCTCTGTCTGTGAACAGTTTGGATGTTTTAGGTCCTTGTCTTGTTTGTGGAACCGACGCAGAAGCAATTTATGTTACTAGACATCTTTTTTCATAGAAGTACTGTAATTATAAGATTTCAGATAGAACATACAATTAGCCCTTTGAAATCCAACTTCTGTGCAAAATTTTATTATCAGAAAATACAAGATTTGCAGGGGAAACATCAGTAAACTACCATTAATGTCAATGCCCAGTTTTGGCTTTTGTTAGCCTGACACTCCCACACAGTTGTAGGATCCGGTAGATGACTGATGGCAAAATATTGTGAACATGTGGAAGAAAATCAGTGGGATTCTGGTGCTGATGAGTAGGTTACCTTCAGAGTATTATTGACAGCTCATGGAACTAGTTCTTTATTTTTGATGCTGTGGGAATTAACACATCAGTGGTGGTTATGGGAACCACCAACAGGTTCCTACAGTTTTTATCAGTAGTATGTGGAGTATATGCCTTCCTAGTGGCAGTTGCCAATGTTAACGATTATTCTTTTTATTGTAAGTATTTCCTGTGATCCTTCCACACTTTATTTCCTTAATAATAAACTTTTTCAGAAAGAATTGAGTAGAGCAAAAATGACAAAGATGTATAGCTGTGTTTGATTTTTTTTCTTTCCTTTTTTTTTTTTTTTTTTGAGGCAGAGTCTTGCTCTGCTGCAGTGCAATGGTGCGATTTCGGCTCACTGCAACCTCCGCCTCCTTCCAGGTTCAAGCGATTCTCCTGCCTCAGCCTCCTGAGTAACTGGAACTACAGGGGTGCACCACCATGCCCAGCTAATTTTTGTATTTTTAATAGAGACAGAGTTTCATCATGTTGGCCAGGATGGTCTCGATCTCTTGACCTCATCATGATCCACCCGCCTCGACCTCCCAAAGTGCTGGGATTACAGGTGTGAGCCATTGTGCCCGTGCTGAAATTTTTTTAAGGTGAAAATGTTTTGACAAGTTCCTTTTTCAGAATAGGTTTTTGAGCAGAACTCTTTCAGCTCCTTAGACCCAACTTTATTTTTGTTGAAAAGGAAAAGATACAACATTTTTCCTAAGGAATTTAGCTTTTGTTTAGCTTCACAGCATAGTTGAAAGTTGCCAGACTGAACATTGTGCAATAAAGTAGAATTCTATATTGATAAGGGAACTGATTTCCAAACTAAAATTTGATAGATAAAAGTATTATTAATCAAATGATGATATGATCAGAGTAAAGAATTTTGCCATTTTAAGTCTTTTGTTTTAGCCACCTGTAGTCTTACCAACCATCTTTATCCTTGTCTGCAGGGATAATAATAACCTAATGTAGTGTTTTAAGATAATTTAATGATACTATCTTTCCAAAGTTTGTTAGATTTTAAATGTATTATTGAGCTGAGACCTTAATGACAAATCACTGCTATAAGACAATTGAAGTGTTCATTTACTTTGTAATTCCAATAATCATAGTTACGGAATTATGGTAAGGTTTTGCTTTTCTGTCCTATAAATATATATATTTTTTGAGACGGGGTTTCGCTCTTGTTGCTGAGGCTGGAGTGAAATGGCACGATCTCAGCTCACTGCAACCTCCGTCTCTTAGGTTCAAGCAGTTCTCCTGCCTCAGCCTTCCAAGTAGCTGGGATTACAGGCATGTGCTGCCACACCCTGATAATTTTGTATTTTTAGTAGAGACGGGGGTTTCTCCATGTTGGTCAGGCTGGTCTTAGAACTCCTGACCATGGGTGATCAGCCCGCCTTGGCCTCCAAAGTGATGGGATTACACGTGGGAGCCAATTTTTTTAATTTTTATTTTTTGTAGAGAAGAGGTCTTGTTATGTTGTCCAGGCTGGTCTTGAACTCCTGACCATGGGTAATCAGCCCGCCTTGGCCTCCAAAAGTGCTGGGATTACAGGCATGAGCCCCACTGCGCCCTACCTATTTGCAATTCTTTTAATGCCACTTTACCTCAGGGGTTTTGGATTTTTGATCTGTCTATAGTAGTATTGCTGGGACTAATGTTTTAAAGAATTTTTGTTACTACTAAATAATTACGGAAAAAGCAAAGTCAAAAGAAAATTTTAAGTACTTAGAATTTCAAGCACACAGTATTCTTTTCATATCCGTTTCTATCCATCAATGTATATAATTTTTTAATAAAATGAAATATACATACTATCTTTGTGGATGCACATTCCCTAGCAGTAAACACATTTTTTTCTATTATCGTTTTGAACTGCTACATAATATTCTAAGGTATAGGTGTGTGTACCATAATTTATTTCAGTTGGTTGCCTATTATTGATTATTTCATGTTTCCAGCTTCTCACTATTATGATTAGTGCTATAATGCCTATTTGATTTAATTTGCATTTCTTTTAAAACTTGGCTTTTATTCTTGGTGGTTTTTTATTTTTTATTTTTTTTTATTTTTAGACGGAGTCTCGCTCTGTAACCAGACTGGAGTGCAGTGGTGTGGTCTCAACTCACTACAACCTCCACCTCCCGGGTTCGAGCGATTCTCCTGCCTCAGCCTCCCGAGTAGCTGGGATTACAGGCATGCGCCACAACACCCGGCTAATTTTTTGTATTTTTAGTAGAGAGGGGGTTTCACTATGTTAGCCAGCCTGGTCTCGAACTCCTTACCTCAGGTGATCCACCCACCTCAGCCTCCCAAAGTGCTGGGATTACAGGCATGAGCCACTGTGCCAGCCAAATCATTTGATTTCTTTCTTAATACTTTCTGTCCCCTGGCATCATGCTGTCCTGTCCTAGGTTTATATAAATGTTAACCTGTAATTCCTTTTATTTTGTGGCTTTGTATTTTGCATGTAATGATTGCATTTGGAATGTAATTATTTAATGTGTCTGAAGTTTTTTTCTTTTTATTATGGATAATTCCAAACATATGAAAAGGATGGTTTTATTAACCTGTGTACTCATTGCCCAGCTTCATCAATTAACAACACACAGCCAGTCTTACCTCTGCTGCTGTTCATTCCCCACCCCTGCTCTGGATCACTGTAAAGCAAATTCCAGATGTCATTTCAATCATAATTCTTCACTGTACATCTCTGAAGGATGAGATACACACACACACTTTTTTTGGTGGGGGGTTGGTAGGGGAGACAGAGTCTTGCTCTGTGACCCAGGCCGAAGTGCAGTGGCATGATCACAGCTTACTGCAGCCTCAACCTCCCAAGCTCAAGCAATCCTCTCACCTCAGCATCCTAAGTAGCTGGGACTACAAGTGTGTGCCACCACATCCAGCTAATTTTTTTAACTTTTTTGTAGAGATAGGGTCTCACTATATTGCCCAGGCTGGTCTTGAACTCCTAGCCTCAAGCAATCCTCCTGCCTTGGTTTTCCAAAGTGCTTGGATTACAGACCTGAACCACCGTGCCTGGCCTCTTGTCAATCTTAATATCACAAAAGTAGACAAGTAGATATTTTGTGCTTCGTGATGTAATATAAAAGGAGTAAATAACACCACCTATGAAATACTCTTGCCCAGAAGAAACTACTTGTCTTTTATTTTGTGGCATTCCAGGAGTAAGTAAAAACCATACACTTATTCAGCTCAGAGTAGGTTTTTTCCTAGCACTGAAAAGTAAACCAGATAATTTGGATAATTGCTGTTACCCTAAATATCATTTCAAGGACTGTTTTCAGCCTAGCTGTCCTTCCCCATCTCCTAGCAACAAAACTGAACCTGATTTACCTGTCTTTACAGACACTACAGGAGACGAAAGAACATGTTAAATGACAACATATTGTCCTGTAGTTGCACTATTAAGACCACATCATGTTGTCCTGTCCACCATGCCCAGCTAATTTTGTATTTTTAGTAGAGATGGGTTTCTCCATGTTGGTCAGGCTGGTCTCGAACTCTCGACCTCAGATGATCCGCCTGCCTTGGCCTCCCAAAGTGCTAGGATTACAGGCGCGAGCCGCTGAGTATTTGTAACCATAAGAGAAAGTATATTTTAACAGCGTTACATTTCATGCCAGTTGACAAGTTCTGCCAATTTTAATACGAAACTAAGCTTTATGTAATATAATACTATAATTTATGAATTTGTTCATTGTCACTGCCTTTATTCATGAAACCATCAAATAGAGTGTCTTTCAAGGGTTGCAGGATCTTAGAGGTAGAAAGTACCTTGGTGATAATCTCCAGCCTAAATTTCATCATCCCTTCTACGGTATTCCCAACAAAGTATCATCAAACCTATACTTAAAAACATATGGTGGCCAGGCACCGTGGCTCACACTTGTAATGCTAGCACTTTGGGAGGCAGAGGTGGGTGGAGCACCTGAGGTCAGGAGTTCGAGATCAGCCTGGCCAACATGGCAAAACCCCGTCTCTACTAAAAATGGGAAAAAAAAATTAACCGAGTGTGGTGGCAGGCATCTATAATCCCAGCTACTCGGGAGGCTGAGGCCGGAGAATTGCTTGAACCCGGGAGGCAGAAGTTGCAGTGACCCAAGATCGTGCACTTCACTCCAGCCTGGGCAAAAGAGCAAAACTCCGTCTCAAAAAATATACATACATATGGTGATAAAGTTTCCCATTTTCCAATGCAGCTTCACATTTGAACAACTCTAATTGATACAGCTTTATGGCAGGGTTTTAGCGTGTGAGTGGGATCCAAAACACTCAATCCTGTAAAAGGGTACAGTCCTGTTGTACATTAACACACTGATGATGTGAGCCTATGAGATGAGCCAATTACCAATTATGTTATATTCGAATCTGCTTTGTGTTGGGATACTTTAATGTAGGGTTTCAGTAAATAAATGAATTTTCATATACTGAACTGAAATTTGCTTTCATCTGTCTTATCTCAGGAGCCACACACACAAAATTCCTCTCATCACATATTCAAATATTCAAAATTGATTATAGTCTCTCCAGTGAAGGTTTCCTTCTCACTCTTTCTTGCCATTTTTGGCTAAATCCTTCTTATCCTTCAAGACTCCTTCTAGTTGTCATTTTCTCCAGACAGCTTTTACTGGCCTCCAGCAATCCGGACTAAATTGCACTCTGCTTCAAAGGCCCACTGTGCAGAACTTAAATTGTGCGCAAAGCAGTGTGTTAAGAAGCCTGTCTCCCCCTACTGGGCCACAAGATCAAGAACAGGGCCCATGTCTTAGTGTAACAGTGTTTAACAGTGTCTGAACCATAGTAAGCAATGAGTCAGTTTATTGACCTAGTTTTCACAATCTTGTTTTCCCTTTAAAAATTACTCCTCTTTGTCAAAGGCCTTTTTTTTTTTTTTTTTTTTTGAGACTTAAGTCTCGCTCTGTCGCCCAGGCAGGAGCGCAATGCAATGATCTCAGCTCACTGCAACCTCCGCCTCCCAGGTTCAAGCAATTCTCCTGTCTCAGCCTCCCGAGTAGCAGGGATTATAGGTGTGCGCCCAGCTAATTTTTTGTATTTTTAGTAGAGATGGGGTAGAGACGGGGTTTCACCATGTTGGCCAGGCTGGTCTTGAACTCCTGACCTCAAGTGAACCACCCTCCTCAGCCTCCCGAAGTGCTGGGATTATAGGCGTGAGCCACTGTGCTCGGCCAGAGGCCATCTTTTAAGTGTGACTTCTAAGATAAACACTTTTTCATACATTGTCTGCCTTGCTGATTATGACAGAAACCTTGCCATCCTGTTAATAGGAATGATATTCCTTTGTAATGCTGTCTCAGCTTCTGAAGTGTTCACATGTGATACTCCTAAGCCACACTTCCTATATTTGGGAGTTAATACAAATGGTTTCTAATCCTTAATATGGGCCTATCTTTCTTGTTCTAAGAAAAATTTCATTTCAGTATAGGAAAGGAATAACAATTTTCTTTGAATCTTTTGTAGAAGCTATTATTTTCTACATAATTAGCCCAGCATGCTCTCTCCACTTTCATCCCATTGATTAGGAAAGATGTTTGAGACAGGATTTCACTCTGTCACCCAGGCTGGAGTGCAGTGGTGTGATCCCTGGCTCACTGCAGCCTCGACCTGGGCCCAAGCAATCCTCCCACCTCAGTCTCCCAATCTGAGACTGCAGGCATGTACCACCAAGCCTGACTAATTTTCGCAATTTTTATTGAGATGGGGTTTCACTATATTGCCCAGGCTGGTCTTAAACTCCTGGGCTAAAGCAATCTGCTTGTCTTGGCCTCCCAAAGTGCTAGGATTACAGACAAGACCCACCATGCCCAGCCAGAAAGATGTTAAATGAAATGAAGGTCTTAGGCCCACTGCTGGAGTCTTCTCAATTATCAATGAAACATGAATCTTTGCTATTTGGCTACAGTTACTGAAATATTTATAACAACCTAATTACTGATGTTTCATTCCATTTATCTTATTTACAAGGTTATTGTGAGAAAATGTGCTATAGTTATCATACTATCAAAAATTTGGCATAATTGAAAAATTCCTGGTCCTTTGTGAATAGTACTTCTATTTAATTGTATTATGGAAACATCCTTTTAATAATCCACTCTAGACTCTTGTCCAAGAAGCATACTAAATTCAACAGTATATAGTTTATATCGAGCCTTTAGTTAAGCTTATGGTATCAATAGTATCTAGCTCAGACTAACAGAAGGTCTGGCCAGGTACAGTGCCTCATGCCTGTAATCCCAGCACTTTGGGAGGCCAAGGGGGGTGGATCACCTGAGGTCAGGTGTTGAAGACCAACATGGCGAAACCCCGTCTCTACTAAAAACACAAAAATTAGCCTGGCGTGGTGACAGGCACCTGTAGTCCCAGCTACTCGGGAGGCTGAGGCAGGAGAATTGCTTGAACCCAGGAGGCGGAGGTTGCAGTGAGCTGAGATCGTGCCACTGCACTCTAGCCTGGCAATAGAGCAAGACTCCATCTCAAAAAAAAAAAAGAAAAAATTGGGCCGGGCACAGTGGCTCACACCTGTAATCCCAGCACTTTGGGAGGCCGAGGCAGGCGGATCACCTGAGGTCAGTAGTTCAAGGCCAGCGTGACCAACACCAACACGGTGAAACCCCATCTCTACTTAAAAAAAAAAAAAAAAAATAGAATATTAGCCAGGCATATTGGCGCATGCCTGTAATCCCAGCTACTCTGGAGGCTGAGGCAGGAGAATCGCTTGAACCTGGGAGGCAGAGGTTGCGATGAGCGGAGATCGTTCCATTGCACTCCAGCCTGGGAAACCAGCGAAACTGTTTCCAAAAAAAAATGAAGGTCTGAACAGTAGTCGTGCTCTTGTTTTACAGATATGAAGCTTGGGGAGACCCAATATATGATATGCAACTATTTTATTTGAACCCTTATTGGTATCATTCTGACCTACCATTAATGTTAAACGGCAACATAAAACAATTAACAGCGAGGTCCTGGGCCACAGTCATCTTAGCATTGAGCCAGTTCCCAACATTTCCCTACATTCAATGTGTACAAAAAGGGCAGAAAACTCCAGGGGGTGCAGGAGAAGTAGAATGACTGGAAGCTGGCTGATCAGATAATGTTAATTTAAAATAAGGTTCAGCTGGGCAAGGTGGCTCATGCCAGTAATCCCAGCACTTTGGGAGGCTGAGCCAGAAGGATTGCTTGAGCTTGGGAGGCGGAGGTTGCAGTGAGTGAACCATTGCATTCTAGCCTGGGTGGCAGCATGACTCAAAACTAAATTAAATTTAAATTTAATTAAAATATTTTTTAAAATGTTGTAGCTGCAAAAAAATCAGAAGAGTTTTTACCCCTCTATAGGGGTAGAATAAACTTTAAAAAATCTTAGCCAGAGAGGTCCTAGAATCCATGATACACCAGTAGCAAGGCATACATCTAGCACCCAGATTTGGTTTCTTATACTATATTCCAATAAAAGGAACCAGGGAGCCTTGGGGGAATGGTGATCCCTGAACCGGGGCAAGAAATATACAAGATAACTTGGAGAACTGGGTGTGGTGGCTCATGCTTGTAATCCTGCACTTTGGGAGGCCAAAGCGGGCGGATCACTTGAGCTCAGGAGTTCGAGGCCAGCCTGGGCGACATAGGGAGAGCTGGTCTTTACAAAAAATACAAAAATTAGGCATGCCGGGCATGGTGGCTCACGCCTGTAATCCCAGCACTTTGGGAGGCTGAGGCGGGCAGATCATCTGAGGTCGGGAGTTCAAGACCAGCCTGACCAACATGGAGAAACCCCTTCTCTACTAAAACTACAAAATTAGCTGGGCATGGTGGTGCATGCCTGTAATCCCAGCTACTCAGGAACGCTGAGGAAGGAGAATTGTTTGAACCCAGCAGGCGGAGGTTGTGGTGAGCCGAGATGGCACTGCTGCACTCCAGCCTGGGCAACAAGAACAAAACTTGGTCTCAAAAAAAAAAAAAAAAAAAAAATTAGTCAGTCGTGATGGCCCGCGCCTGTAATCCCAAGCTACTCGGATGCTGAGGCAGGAGGATCACCTGAGTCCTGGGGGTTGAAGCTGCAGTGAGCCATAATTATATCACTGCACTTCAACTTGGGTGACAGAGTGAGACCCCATCTAAAAAAAAAAAAAGAGATTTTGGAGCATCTTGTACTGCCTGAAAATATGAAAGTTCTTTTTTTTTTTTTTAAAGGTGAGGTCTTGCTTTGTCACCCAGGCTGAAGTGCAGTGGCTAGATCTCGGCTCACTGCAGCGTTGGCCTCCTGGGCTCAGGTGATCTTTCTGCCTCAGCCTCCTGAGTAGCTGGGACTACAGTTGTGTACCACCACACCTGGCTGATTTATAGAGATGAGGTCTTGCTATGTTACCCAGGCTGGTCTCGAACTCTTGGGTTTAAGTGATTCTCCTGTCTCAGCCTCCAGAAGTGCTGGGATTAAAGGGGTGAGCCACCAAACTGGGCAGAAAGTTCTTTAGAACACACACACACACGCGACAAGCCAACTGAAAGAGCTCCAGTGGCCAAAACTGAAACAACTTGAGCAACAAAATAAATACCCAAAGCATAAAATAGATATCCATGAGGCCATACAGACATAAAGGGTTTTTCTTTTGTTTATTTGTTTACTTATTTTTATGTAAGATGGACCCTTGCTTTGTCACCCAGACTGGAGTGCAGTGGTACAATCTCAGCTCACTGCAACCTCCACCTCCTGAGTTCAAGCGATTCTCCTGCCTCAGTCTCCCAAGTAGCTGGGACTACAGGCATGCGCCCACCACGGCCGATTTTTTGTATTTTTAGTAGAGACAAGATTTCACCATGTTGGCCAGGCTGGTCTCGAGCTCCTGACTTAGTGATCCACCCACCTCGGTCTCCCAAAGTGCTAGGATTATAGGTGTGAACTACCATGCCCGGCCAATAAATGTTTGAATAAATAAATGAAGGAGAAGGGATAAATCTGCAGAATTTCAAATAATGTATTTGAATTCTCCACTTTATTTATTTATTTATTTGAGACAGAGTCAAGATGATGGAGCACAACTCCCCATTCCTTAAGAGTGGGTGGCACATAGTCTGATGTCTTACCCTAAGATTGCATGAATTTCTGGAAGGGTTTATGTTCTCAGGGCCACACTGGTCTCCAGACTTCTTCCATGTACATTGCCCCCTCCTTCCTTTCTAAGGTCACCCAAGCATGAAATCAGACTCTACATCTATTGCTAAAAACAAAAAAGCCCCATTTCCATGAAGCACTGAAGAGTTGAGTAGGCTGAAACTGGACCAAGATCTTCCATCACAATGATATAAAAACCTGCAAATGCGATGGCAGGTATCGCCATTCCCACACACACATCCAGCACCCACAGTAAGTATTTCCCCAACCATCAGCACTCTCCGCACCTGCAGTCCCCGCTGCTTTTCATCTCGTCGGTTTGTTCTCTTGCTGATCATTGCACCTCTCCTTTCCCTGCTCTTTCATCTCTCGCCCTACTTCACAGGAGTAAGACTCCTAGTCCTACACAGAGCAATTTACTCAGCTCCCTGAATTATCTAGGAATTTCCCCAGAGACGAGAGTTTGTGGAGATACTTTCCTTTAGGTTTAGAGAACATTGAATACCATTGGTTGATGACAGAGGTGACAGGATTCTGGGGGCAGTCTGTTCTTCCAGATGCAGAATCTTTTTGGATAGGGCAAGTAGACCTGTGGACATATTAGATTCCTATAATTCATATAATTTTAGGGCTGAAAACGTTTTCATGGGTCACCCTTCCGTTGAAGAAAGTAAGCTCTTTAGTGACCCACCTTGGGTCACATTGTCTACCTTCTACAAACTCTGTGCTTGTAGAAAATAGGCTTTCAACCAAATATTCTTGGAACATAATCTTTTTTTTTTTTAATTTGAGACGGAGTCTCGCTCTGTCGCTCAGGCTGGAGTGCAGTGGCGCGATTTCGGCTCACTGCAAGCTCCACCTCCTGGGTTCACGCCATTCTCCTGCCTCAGCCTCCCAAGTAGTTGGGACTACAGGCGCCCGCCACCACGCCCGGCTAATTTTTTTATTTTTAGTAGAGACGGGGTTTCACCGTGTTAGCCAGGATGGTCTCGATCTGCTGACCTTGTGATCCGCCCGCCTTGGCCTCCCAAAGTGCTGGGATTACAGGCGTGAGCCACCGCGCCCGGCCGGAACATATTTTACCAGGTTTTCACATTTGGATTTCTGGATACAGTAAGTAGCCAGTTACTACTTTAACGTCAGAAAAAGATGTCTTTAATTTTTTTATAGTCTGTAGTAGAAAACTTACGAAAGAAGGTACTTAAAAACGCCAGCTGTATATTTCCTAGAGGAAAAACTGGCAAAGGCGCTCTTCACAAAGGGTAGACGGTACTTTATACATCAAACCCAACGATCCGGTCTCACACTTTACATTCAGTTTAACCATAAGTAAAACCTCTTGTCACACTGTCACCGTTACTCCAATTATGGCAATAACGACCTCCTTCTACGAATGCGGTTGACAGATAAGATCTCTAAACTGCTGCTAATCAATCGGTCCTGGCTCAAGAATTTCTTATCTGCCTGATTCAGAAAATACAGATGCTGGAAGCTCACAGGCTTGTTCGGGGAAAGAACGCTAAGCAAGAATAAAATTTTATTTCAAAGCGCCAAAAATCTCGAATTCTGAGGTCCCACAGCAAGGTTTCCCAGAGCGACTCACAGTTGTTCCCTTGTGAGAACGTAGCTCCGTGAAATGCGCATCCCTACTCGGTCCAGAGAAATAGATCAATGGGAAAAAGGATTGAATCAACAGGAGAGAGCCTTAACCCACGGCCGCGGGCGAGTCGTCTGGGCAGGGGCAGGCGGGAGCAACGTGGGGCGACGCTCACGAACGATCAGAGCGGCGGGCGACGCAACGAGGCCCGGAGGCCGCTGGCTGTGCGCTCCCTCGCAGCAGCCGGGCGGGCAGAAGCCCCCAGTCCTCGGCCCCCGCGCAAGCGACGCCGGGAAATGCCCACATCCGGGAAACCTGCAGCGGAGTGCGGCGGCGGCGACACTGAGTGGAAGGCAAAATGGCGGCGGCGGCAGTGTCCTGGTGTTAAGGGGAGAGCCAGGTCCTCGCGACCCCCGCGACGGGTCGCGCTGGCCCGCGGCAGCCGGCCCGCTCCTCTCCCCGCTCTGCCCCACCAGGGATACTTGGGGTTGCTGGGACGGGCTCCGGCCGCCTCGGCGTCCGCCCTCAGGCCCGTGGCTGCTGTCCAGGAGCTCTGCTCTCCCCTCCAGGTAGGTCCCGGGCCGGCGTAGCGGGTGCTCTCCTCCCTTACTCGAGTTGGCGGGGCGGTGGCCGCCGGGGCCCACGCCCATCCCCGCTGGCGAGGGTCCAGAGGTTGCTGTGGACTGGCGGGCAGAGCCGGCCCGCTCCGGGCCTGACTTGGCTGGTTGCATTGACCCGAGCTGAGCCCTGCCCTGGGGAAGCGAGGGTTGGCCGCGCCCGGTGCTGCAGGAAGAGCCCCAGGCTTTTCGGCCTCGAAGGTGCAGGTTTGGCTGGGTAGAGCCTGTCTTGCTGGCTGCCTTGCGCCGACGGTCTCCCACCCGACCCCCAACACGCTAGTCGGCGGTGTCCAGGAGGGAAGGAACGGGAAAGGTGGTTCTGAAGGAAAATTGCAGTAAAAGGGCTACAGTTCTTTGAATCCTAGAGGGCCGTGATCCTGGGTATACCTTGGAGAAATCCTTGGAGTCTCTTCTGTCTAGTTCAGTGTGGTTTTAGGTTACTGTTCTTAGTTGAAAGTGGTGGGAAAGATGGAGAAGTCTTTATGGAGTAGCAGTGTGTATATAAATACAGCAAATGAAAGAACGACAATTAAGGGAACAGTGACTCTCAGATGACTTGATTTATCACTGTTCTGACTTCTCTGTCAATTTCTAAGGGAACAAAATTTAATGTTTGCCAACTCATATGTTAATACGACTTTTAAAACATGTATTAAATCTAGTGAACAATAAGTATAATCTCATGCACAGAAGTATATTGTATAACTCCAGTTTTGGAAATGGATTTGAATGTTAGCGATCATGAAACTTGTCAGACCTTTATGAATTATTTATTGAAGGCTAAAATTTTTTATCAAATTTCCTCCATGAGGAAGAAAAGCTAGGACATTATAATTGGAATGAATGTTCTCTGCTACGAAAACGAAGCTTATCTCTGACGGTAAAGTAGGGTAGTTGATTCCCTGAGGCAGTGGAGGAATTTGATTGAACAGTGAAAGAAGTAGCACTGTGTTAGTCCAGTTGGCTGCTACTGCAAGAAACTAGATCATGGTCCATGCTTGGAATGGTGCATTCTGTGCCTAAATATTGACTAAATATGCCTTGCTGCTCATCAAAAAATACTTCTACTACATTTTTAATGTATAATATCTGGCTTTCATTGTATGGGTCGTTTTTATTTTTGTTTTGTTTTATTGCAAGTCCTTGTTGTTCTGTATAAATAGTTTTTGGAACGGTTCTAACCCTGGTTGTTTAGTTATTTTAGATGTTTTATTTATATTAATGGGAGATTGTTATACATCACAAAAGTTATTTAGTCATTGAATAACATTTTCGCCAAGTAGAAACAGCAATCATTTTTCAGCATGAAGATACAGTGTTGCTTTCACTTTTGATCTGACAATTATTAGAAAGTGAACTGAAGAAAATATCAGTATGCAGTTTCCTTTAAAGATGGGAACTCACTATCTTGCCTGTGCTGGATTCCAACTCCTGGGCTCCAGCAATCCTCCACCACAGCCTCTCAAGTAGCTGGGACTACAGGTGCACTACTGCACCCAGCCAGGGTACTTTTCTGATAAACTTAATTCAACCCAAGTTAACACTTTGAAATCTTACGTAATGGTACCATTTTTTTCCCCTAAGTTGGACAAACTAATCAGTGATACTTGTTTGTTGATGTTTGTATTTTTGATGAGGGTCTGAACTTTTAAAAAAAAAAAAATGGCGATTTGTCATACCCAGGCAGTTTGATTCCAAAGCTCTTACTTTAACCATGAGGTTAAAAGTCATTGAAAGTTATGGAGTAGGTAGGTGACATGATCAGAATTGCTTATTAAGATGAATCTGGCCCCATTGTAGTGTGGGTTAAAAAGGTGAACAGTTTTGCTTTGAATAATTATTTTAAAAATTCTCTTTGCCTAGTAATAATTTGAATTTTCACATGTCATAGCAGCAAAGATTATTGAGATTTAGTAATGCCAGTATTAACCATACCTTGTTGTGGGGATTATAAAATTAGTATAACTTTCTAGAAGGCAGTCTGACAATAAATATTAGAATTTTAAATATGTATTCTCTTTGATCCAGCAATTCCACTTCTGGGAATTTATTTTAAGGAAAATGCTCAGCAATGTGTGCACAAGAATTTTTATTGCAGCAATTTTTTTTTTTGTTCACAATTTTTGTTATATGCAAGGAATAGGCTATATATATTATATATATGTTCATTTTATTAAACTATGAAGCATAATAAAATGAACATCCATGAACTTACCACCTGTCCTCAGAACTAGAATATTACCAGTATAATTGAAGTTATCAGTTTGCAGTATTATTTTACATTAGCAAAGAAATGAGGAACAACCTAAATGTCCATCAGTCAGGGATTTATAAATAATAGTACATCTGGCCAGACGTGGTGGCTCACGCCTGTAACCAGCACTTTGGGAGGCCAAGGTGGGCGGATTACCTGAGGTCTTGAGTTCGAGACCAGCCTGGCCAACATGGTGAAACCCCATCTCTACTAAAAATACAGAAATTAGCTGGGTATGGTGGCACACGCCTGTAGTCCCAGCTACTTGTAAGGCTGAGGCAGGAGAATCACTTGAACCCGGGAGACGGAGGTTGCAGTGAGCCGAGATGGCACCACTGCACTCTAGCCTGCGACAGAGTGAGGCTCCTTCTCAAAAAAATAAATAAATAAAATAAAAATAGTACATATACATGATGAAGTTCAATATCAAGGTATTTATTTATTTATTTATTTATTTATTT